CCAAAAAAAGTATTATCAAATGTCACATAGAAAAATAATTTCAAAAGTAACATACAAAAGTACTATTAAGTAATTCTGTGACGGCGTCAATGAGCTATTAATTATGAAAGTATTTTTAAGTATTTTATCACCAAAAGTAATTAATAGTACTTTTCTATTGAAAAGTAATATTAAGTTGTAATTGCGCCATCTCAAGTCGGTTCAATATATAAGGCAGTTCTAACAGTAGATGTTCGTATACAAATTTGGCTCTGTTATTTGTACACTCGAAAAAAGTAAGGATTTTTCGCGAAAAGTTCGAATCTCGCCTCCGGAAACAAAATAAGTAAAATGTATACTAAAAAGTACTATGTGAAATAATAAAAAGTACTATGGAATTGTTGGTGTTACAAGGTGAAATATCTAAGTAAGTAATAAAAAGTAATATTAAAAAGTAAGCAATATAAAAATACTATGACCAAAGTAAGTAATGAAAAGTACTATAAAAGTGTTCGTAGCAACCCACGTAAAAAAAAGTATGAAAAAGCAACTTTTAAATACTATATCTGATAATTAAGTAATATAAAGTAACTATTACAACTATTTTTTACTTTTTCTAGTAATTTTCGACACTTTTCCTCAAGGGGGAAAAAGCGGATTCCGTCTATCCGGGATACGGTGACAATCCAAAGGATACGTAGGATCCAGAGGATACGATGGCGATACGTACGATAGCATTACAATCCAGAGGATACAGAGGATACCATTTCAATCCAGAAGATACCTGTAAAAAGTTGACTATAAAATTTGATGTAGTGAGGAAAATATAAAATTTATAAGATGCGAAGCATGAGATTAATATCGAGTCAATTCTGTGGACGATTTCTCATCGATATCAAAGAATTTGGACTGTTTTTTACTATAAATATTTCGTAGCTAATCACATGATCTTATGAAAGTTGATGAATTTAAATTCAAAATAAAATTATTCAAATAGTTTGTTGTTTAATTGTTCATTTTCTAACGTTCAATCTATCTATGTACAAGACAGTCGGATGAGTCGGACGATAGAGAACGAGAAAAATAACAAATTTCTATCTAGCTTGTTCATAAACAACTTTTTTCGTTACACATCACCTCGTAATTCTCTTGTATCTTCGTATTTGAATTCTTATTTTATAATGCCCCCAACTACATTGAATGTGGACATTACAATCCTTCCTGCAGATGTATTATCATTATTTGATGAACCCTTTTATGAATTAGTTCATAAATTAGCTGGTCCTGTCGAAGCCAAATTACTTGAAGTGCAAGGTATTCGTAGTGCTTATTCATTAATCCACACTGAAGACGTATTTGACGTGTTAAAGTATGAATGTAAAGCATTGGATGAAATTAAAAGAAAAGCTTGTCTTTTTTTGAATGATAATCGGTATATTGTTAAACCTGGCTGTAAAAGTAATATACGTTACTTTACTCAATTACTCAATTTGAAGAATCAAGAACATTTGAAATCAATTGGTCTTCGAATGAAGTCAAAAAACAAGTCAAATGATACTGATAATACTAGTTCATCAACACCTCAATCAACAGCACAGGTTCTTCCTCTATCTTTACCATTATCAGAAAGTACGACAACACAAACAACAGGTTAGCATATGAACATATTTGGTTCGATGAATTATCCTTTTTTAGTCATACACATTTTTAACAGTTACTATTTTTCCAGAGTACTTTTTATTATTTCACATAGTACTTTTTAGTATACATTTTACTTATTTTGTTTCCGG